ATGGGATGGGATCCATGGGATGGGATCCATGGGATGGGATGGGATCCATGGGATGGGATCCATGGGATTGATGGGATCCATGGGATTGATGGGATCCATGGGATGGAATCCATGGGATTGATGGGATCCATGGGATGGGATCCATGGGATGGGACGGAGTGGTGGGATCCGGCGCGGAGCCGCTGACGCCGTGGCCGCGGCAGGTACGTGGATTACCCCATCTACGACGTGCTGCAGATGGTCGGCCACGCCAACCGCCCGCTGCAGGACGACGAGGGCCGCTGCGTCATCATGTGCCAGGGCTCCAAGAAGGTGGGGGAGGCAGCCGGGGACGTTCCCGGGATTTCAGCCGGGATTCTCCTCCTCCAGCTGCCGGATGAGCCTTGCGCAGGGCTGGGGTGGGATCACTGGGATCCATGGGATCACTGGGATGGGATCCAAACCCTCCCTCGGGGCTGGGATCACCACGGGGACAACCCAAACCCTCCCAGAGCGCCACACTGGGAATTCCCGCAGCGTCTGCGGGATGAATCCCTGAATTCTCTCCCTCTTCCCGCCCGTCCTGCTGCAGGATTTCTTCAAGAAGTTCCTGTACGAGCCGCTGCCGGTGGAGTCGCACCTGGACCACTGCATGCACGACCACTTCAACGCCGAGATCGTCACCAAGACCATCGAGAACAAGCAGGACGCCGTGGACTACCTGACCTGGACCTTCCTGTACCGCAGGATGACCCAGAACCCCAACTACTACAACCTGCAAGGTGGGAATGGGATCTGCGGGGAGTTCGGGAGTGGTCTGGGGTGGTTATGGTGCTGGCAGTCCCGTCCTGTCCTATCCCATCCCGTCCCTTCCTGTTCTCATGGATCCTGTCCCATCCCATGGATCCCATGGGTCCCATCCCATCCCTGTTCCTGTCCTTGTTCCCATCCTATTGATCCCATCCCTGTTCTCATGGATCCCATCCCACGGATCCCATCCTATTCCATGGATCCCATCCCATCCCACCCCTGTTCCTGTTCTTATTCCCATCCCTGTTCCCATAGATCCCATGGGTCCCATCCCATCCCTGTTCCTGTCCTTGTTCCCATCCCATTCTATTGATCCCATCCCTGTTCTCATGGATCCCATCCCATCCCATGGATCCCATCCCACCCGTTCCCATCCTTATTCCCCCCCTATTGATCCCATCCCATCCCATGGATCCCATCCCATGGATCCCATCCCATGGATCCCACCCCATGGATCCCGTCCCGTCCCGTCCCATCCCATCCCATCCCATCCCATCCCATCCCAT